TCAGAGATTCTGGGTAGGAAGGCTTTGCCCATCAGTGATACGGCTGGTGGCTTGTCCTCCCAGGAGACTAACACTAGCGTCTTCGGCCGGCAAACAGAGTTGGGTTTTCTTCCATCCTTTATGTCTAACTTCTGGTGCTGGTCTTTTTCAAAGCTACCACCTCATCCACTATTTCAACAAATTCGCTCAATTTTATTGTAAACCAACCTGGAATATCCACCAAGCCCCCATCTTCCTGGCCAGCGTCTCTAAGTTTCCTTCCAGCTATTTACTACGAAGACAAATGCAGAAAGCAAGGCTCTGTTTACTTGTTTTTCAATAAAGTTTATTTTGACTGCTAGAGTGTGACTCCAGGCAGATAGCTGTCTGGCACTCGACTTCTTGCTCCTAAGATAAAGACTGGTTTAGAGGGGCTGGAGAGATGGCTCGGTGGTTAAGAGCACTGACTGCTTTTCCAGAGGACCTGGGTTCAATTCCCAGCACCCACCTGGCAGCTCACAACTGTCTGAAGACCCAGTTGCAGGGGATCCACACCAATGTACATAAAATAAAGTTAAGTAAACCATAAAAAGTATTAAAAAAAAAAAAAAAGACTAGTTCTTTCTACACAAAAATCGAGGGTCCATCATGGCTTTTTCAAATAGTTTTCAGATTGCCAGCAAGCAGTGCTGCCAGGCCACCTTCCTAAATAGCCAGTTCAGAACAGTCCTGGGCTCTCTACCGGCTTTTGCAGTTATAATTATTAGCATGCCTAGTATGGAATGGCCTGACAGATGACATCAATTCAGGATTCAGAAAAGCACCTGTAATGTAGCTTCTTGATCACACTCGGGAAACTGGTAAGAAGCCCACCATTCAAGTTCACACCTCTACACCAAGTTGCTGTTGCTTCTCGCCAAAGGTAGGAGCCTGTCAGGTCTATTAACACCACAGAAGACGTCCCAGGACAGGAACAGGCTCAGCCTGAAGCTAATTTTAATGCTAACACATGAAAAATAACCACGGCAACAAAGCCATCTGCCACTTGTTCCAGACACCTGAGCAAACACATGGAGAAGACGGGTCCATTTCTTAACTCACAGTCAAGTATATTAACCGTGAAGCCAAGACTGATAAAAAAAAAAAAAAAAAGAACGAGGCAGTAAAGGCAACGTGCAGCCAGGAGGAAAATGAAGGAAAAACTTTCTACCACATGAAAGAGTCCTGGCCAGTCCCCAGATACCACAAGCTTTTACCTTCTGAAGTCAGGGCTTTGCTTCATCTCAAAATGAAGACAGCAAGCTACCTGTCCGTTCCCAAACTGCCTGGTAAAGTCACCCAAGAAGCCTTTGGAAGCAGTACAGGTCCCTTCTCCGGAGAGTCTTCAGACCAGGTCTGATCTATGACCTTATAATGAATCTTAAAATGTTTAACCAGCATCATGTTTTCATACCTGATAGAGAATATTAAAATATACTGGCTGATGCCTGCCTCCTTGCTCCATGGCTCAGTCTCTGGAACCTACATGGTGGACTGCAAAGAGTTTACCTGGGGCATCTGCCCTGTGCACCGCAACATGCCCATGACTCCTCCCGCATCGAACACACAGTAAAATATAAAACATCTTCTGAGGGGGTCCGTCTGTAGCTAACAGTCTACTGTGCATGGACATGCCTATGACAGCCACTGCCGGGTACATACATGGACATTCTAATTGTACTATACTCATGAACCGGTGATGGCAGAGGACAGATCTCGACTGTCATTTAGTTGAAAGAATTTAAGTTTATAGGATGCTTTAAAAGCCCTCATACGCCTAAAAACAAAACAGAACAAACACAGAAAGCACGGTGGGAATGTACCAAAGGCCCATCCAGATTCTTCTGATTCAATAATTGGTGATGTTTCAAAAGGAGTCGATGTTCTTACATGATTTTATATAAACTCTGCCACAAATTCATCGCACTATTTTTTAAATGAAAAGATAACAAAGCCTCTTGTTTTAATGTTTCTTGATAATTTTTCCCCCCCGCTAGGCTCAGAAAACAGGATTTTCAATTTTTGTTCAACTCCAAATCAGGTTTAAAAAAAAAAAAAAAGTGAGTTGATTAGCTCTCACCCTTTCCCACTAACGGCCACTGCTTTTGAGTGACAACTAGCACGTCCTATGGTATGGGCTATATTTAAAGAGTCACCTTGGCCCTCAGAGAATGGAACTTGTCTACTTGTCTACTTGTCTACTTTGGCTATTCCCTTCCTGCTGGGTTACATCTCACAAGCTTTGGTACAGGAAATTGCTCAATTCAGAAATCCCACATGGCTTCCACTACTCACAATTAAATTATCTAAGTAAATAATAAGTCTCTAAATGAAAAAAAAATCAGTATTAAGAAAATACACCAGAAATTAAGCATTTACTCAACACCGAGCCAGCACCATGCGTGCTTGGTACATCTATGATGCTAGCATATTGGAGGCCAAGGCAGGAGGATTGGAAGCTCAAGGCTAGCTTCAGCTACTTGTCTTTTGTTTGCTTTTGTTTTGTTTTGTTTTGTTTTATAGGCATCCTGTCTGCCATGGGTTCCAGCTGAAGTAGAATGGCCAAGCATATGAAACACTTAGGCCATATGCCCAGTGTTCCTTCCCTGCCAACATTATCAAGTTCACGGCAGTGGTCAGGGTTAGTTAGGTTCAGAAGCCCAGGCCTTCAGAACTTAGCAAGAGACAGCATCACAGAGCAGTCTGTTCTGTCTACGAAGAGGCAGAGATCTATGCTTTGCCAATCTGACAAGCTTGTCAAGAGGGCCCAGCTGTAAACCTACGCCACTTCTGAGCAGACTGAAGTTATCAGAGAATGAACGAACACCAGACAAGCAACAAGCTGTCTAGAGCTGATGCTAAAACTCTACAGCACACATGATGCTAACCCCTACATACAGCAAGCTTTCCCCTAAAAGGGGTTCAACTGCTTTTAGACTAAGCCAATGCTTCTTAGTCTGGTTACTACAGCTCCATCGGAAGTCACACCAGCTCCTAACTACAGTGTCTGATAGCACCTGGAAAAGCCAGAGCCCGAGCAGCCTGCTGCTGACAGACTTCAGTAAAGTGCCAGGTCGGGAAAATACAAACACTAAGACATCAGTGAAATGGATACTCAAGTTCCCAAGTCCACATTTTGAAATACTACATATTTCAAAGTGCCCTTTGAACACTTTAATTCATTTAAAATTTCCCTTTGGGGGGCCGAGCTGAGAAAATATTTAACTATAAAATATCATGATGCTAAGCAGCAGCTTTAGTGACCCGACAGAAAACAACTTCAAGTTTCTCCCTACGGCACCTTGGCTGATAAAACACAAAAGCTCAGCTATGGAAGAACACACAAGAAACCACGACAGGAAGCTGGGTGCTTTCCGGTGCCCTGGGTTTGAATTACCACCATCCTCCTCTCAAATGCAGGTCAGGGACCTGGTGAGACTGAGGTCTACAAACAAAACCTAAGATTCAGACGTCTACCAGACCGTGACTCCAGGTCCACAGTCACTTTTCCAGCCCCAACAGTAAGGCATCGACATTTTGTTTGCCCATGTGAAGCTCAGGCTAACAGGACACAGAATGCAGCTGGGTGACGTCCACCAAAGGAAAAGGCAAGGCTGCCACGGGAAGGTTCCTGGACAGCTCTCTGGCATATGAGCTTCCTTCGGCAATCCTAATTCCTAATTATAAAAATGTTTGTAGGAGTGGCAGCTCCAGAGGCTCCCAGCATGTTTACATTACTAAATCATTTAAGCCCTATGGTTGGAAACTAATCTCTGAACGGTCAGAGTTAAGGTAAACACTTTTCAAAAAGTAGTTTTGCCTCATCTCAAGAAACTATGATACGAACAAAACTCACACTTACAAAATAAAGCGGGGACATTAATCTTAGAGGAAAAAAAAAAAAGCTTTACTTTACAAAGTAACTCACTTGGGTATTTGATGAAACAACCCAGACCATAGAATTTTGACTAAATGACTTTGCAGGAAACATTCTGTTTAACTTGAAGCCACCTGTGCCCGGACTTTGTAACTTCAAGTCTGAAAAGGTTAATTAAATCAAGTAACATTTCCACATTTCCACAGCAGCATAGGCTAAAAAGAATGACGAACTCAAGAGACGGTTTCATTAGTTAATATATTTTCTGCATTGTAGTTAACATATATGTACTTTATGTACTTTCTTCGAGTCATCTTGTTTTTCATGAAGTAGTGATATGTTATATTCAGATATGAGTACATTTCAACAGTCTTTTGCAATAAATATCATAAAATAATAGAGATTCGCATAATAAATATTCTTTACAATAAAAAAGTTTAACAGACTTTTGTCTTAAAAATAGCCAGGATTCAACTTTGTGGTTTACACATATAATATACAAAAAGCACCACAATTTGTGGCTAAGGCAATGAAAACACAGGAAGGATTGGAAACACCCAGCTGTTAAGAGTCAAAAGGCCAGTCAGAGGCCAGGGGCACCTTAGGGGACTGTAGCTCTGAGAGGCCTAGGGGCGGACCAGACAGGAACTTCAACTGCAGTTAGCTCTGCCCTCAGCGAAGTGGGGGTGGGAAGTCCTTCACAGACACAGGAAGCTAGGAGACACAGGGTGGACTAGCCAGCATCATCTCCAAAGTGAACACCAACATTGCGGAGTGGATCTAGATCTATGGCAGAAAGGGTGGGGAGGGGGCACGACCCACTGGCCTCTCCACAGTGCACTGTGGGGGGGAACCTGGGGGCTGGAAGGAGAGGGCAGCGAGCTGCCCGTCGCAGAGCAAACGGTGTTCTAAGGAGCAGATCCTCCCCTTCGACTGGGGGATGGGGGCTAAGATAGCTCTCATCAGAGGCAGATGAATATATAGCTTATTTAAGCACTTACATGGTTACTTTGTAATAAACCAAACCAAGTCCCTGATCCCACAGGACCCGACCCCGAACATCTCTCAGCCGAGTCCGGGCGTGCATGC